GGGGCTGCACGCGGGTCGCGCAGACAGACGGAGGAGTCGGTGTGAGCAGAAGTGGAGTCGCGGACGGACGGAGTCGCGCTTCAGCCAAGCAGCAGGGTCGCGGACGGGCCGGACTTCTGGCAGAGGTCGTCGCTGCGCATGGCCTTGGCCGGATTCAGTGTGCTGCCGCCCTCCTCTCTCCTTCCTTTCCCTCTCCCTCTCCCTCTCTCAACTGACGCGATGGGGATTGGGTTGGCGGGAGGTGTAGGCGCGCAGCTGCTTCTTTTCCCACGCGCGCGCATCGCTTCGCTCTTTTCTCGCGCGAGCGCGCGGCGCTGCTCTTTCCCGCGTGCTTTTCCGTCCAGCGGCGTCCGCCTCAGCGAAATCGACGCCTAGGCGACGCCTTCAGCCGCGAGGCGACGCCATACGCGATGAGGGCGCGGCGACCGCGACGCCCCGTTTGGAATCCCGCTCGGACGCCTAGGCGACGCCTTAAAAACTATGATTACAATATCTAATTTTACAAGCCGGTTAGAACCCACGCCCTGTAAGCAATAGTAAGCACTACATTTTACAAATTTACAACATATATAGAATAGAAAACGAAAATACAAGTAGCCCAACAACTATAGTTAACAATTTGGCCCAGCAAGAGTACCATTAATATATGTGGACATCATTGGCTAATCAAAATCACGACCCTCGTGATATAGTATCATTAATCAATAAATCGATAAACGCTGAGCCTCCTACCAGAGCCTCCCCAAATCCCCATAGATCGAAAACCCTAGACCGTACGCGGGAATCCCCTGCGCCCCCACGGTTGAAGCGGCAGAGCCGACCCAATGCGGCTCAGCGAGCGCCCCAAAACCCTAGCTCCCGGCACCGGTACGAGATCGATCGAGTCGAGGCGACCCAGATCGGGGGGGAACAGGGGAGAGGAAAGGGGACCTTGATTGAGCAGCTTCTGCGCCGTCTCGTTGGGGTCCATGTTGGACTCGCGGAGGGTGTCCAAGATGTCGGCGTCGGAGTGGCCGCCGACGACCTCCTTGATCGACTGGATGGTGGACTGGATCGCCGTGGTGGTGGTGGGCGAGCGCGCCGCCCCCACCCTGTCGGAGCCGCGAGCCCCGCCGCCGCCGCCAGCCATGCCCGCCGCGAGAGGGGAGATCGCCCGAACGCACGCTGAGACGGGGGAGCGGGTGGTGGTGGTGGCGCTCGCGATCGCCGCCGGAATCGCATCAAACGACGCGAGGCCCTGGGTTTCGGGGGAGAGTGGGTTTGGGTTTTGGTTTGGTTGGAGTGGTTGGGGCCGGCCGGGCTCGGTGGGTGCGTGGTTTTCCTAGGGAAGGGAAGGGAATTGGGGGGGGAAAGGGTTGCGCGACTTGCAAGGGTGGTGGGCTGGTGGCCGCTGTGTCAGTGTGCGTAAACGCGGGGTGGTGGGGGCAGAGGTATTTAAATGACGGATATACCCCTACGTAGGGTATGTGTGAACGTGGAATTTCTGCGTTTGGTAGGGGGGCTAGGGGTGGGAGCGTCATCTTGAATGGCGTTAGGGTTGCAGAGCACGGACTCTACATTCCTGTTTGTATTTCAATTTCAAGTCAGACTGATCCTGTGGGCCGGGCCTGCGTTCGTCGCACTTGTGGTTTGGGCTTCTCGACGGGGGCCCGTCTTGCTGGACCAAAAAGAACAAAAGATTTTTCCTTTTTCTTTTTTTCCCTTTGCTTGTCCCTTTTGTTTCAAGAAATTCTCATATTCTATCCGTTTGAGGTCCTGTTTTGGGAGCTTTAAGCTTTTATAGAAAGTTCGAAAAACTAAAGCTCCTCCAAACGATCCTAAATTATAAGTCATTTCAATATTCCTAAAGAGTCAAAACATCTACTAAATAAGTATCATTAAATTCTTATTTAATTATATTTCTATAGTATATATATTTGATGTCATAAATTTTACAATTCTCTCAATAATTTGCTCAAATTTAGAATGGTTTGACTCTACACAAAAATTGAAATTACTTTTAATTTTAGACATAGGGATTTGCTTTTTTAAGCTAAAAACAACTCCAAAAGCTGCACTTTGTATTAAAAAAACATAGAAACTTCTTCGTAGTAGCTTCTCGAGTTCTTTCAGAAAGCTTCTCCCGGAGTTTTTCAGCTCCCAAACAGGGCCTAAATCTGAAGAGATTGAACACCTATTTTAGGTACGTTTCGTACGTATACTACAACACTAATGCTACTGTTAAGACGTTCGGAAGGCCAGATGCCTCACTCCACTCACTGCCCTTACCTATTCCGCGCTCCTCATCCCCTGTCGCAGCGCACATACGCCCAGCGTCCTCCCCCACTGGGTGCCCCCAACGCCACAGACCTGGTGCCCCTCTCCCCCACCCCGGGTGAGATCCATGAAGGTGGCGCGGCGGTGTCGCGGGAGAGTGCGCGGCTCTCCTCCACCCCGGCGCGGCGCCCTCTGACCCCTCGGCGGCGCCCTCTCACCTCGGTGACCGAGCTCCCCCCACCTCGGCGGCCATGGCGTTCCTTGCCTCCCATCCCCCACCATCGCTGCCGAGCCAAAGCTTGGTACCGGTGGCGGTGGTGCTCGTGCGCCACCGCTCGCCACCGACAATGGTTACAATCGACCGTCCGGCTTCCCCTTGCCTATATTGCAAATGTATGTTTCAGACGTTTCAAAGTTATGTTGCAGTTGTTTCTTATGGATGTTGCAAAAGTAGATCGGGAGATGTTGCACACCTTGCATATGTTGCACGTGTTTTAGAAGCATGTTGCAAGCGTTTGTTCAAAATGTTTCATCTATTTTCAGATGTATGTCACAATCATTTTCTATCTAGATGTTGCATATGTGTTCACACATATGTTGCAACAGTATATTACAAATGTTTTAGTTGTTTCAGTTTTATGTCGCGGTATAAGTGTTTTTTCATGTTGTATTTGTTTTATCTAGATGTTGCATATGTTTCACACACATGTTGCAAGCGTATGTCACAAAAGTTTCATCTGTTTCAAATGTATGTTGCATTCGATTGTTTCATGTTGCAAGTGCAGATCGCCGACGTTGGTGTCCATGAGGGCCGGCAGGGCCATGCCCGGCCACCGACGCGTGCATGAGGCGAGGGTGGGTGGCGGCGGTGTGGGGAGGAGGCGGTGCTGTTGTGGAAGAGGCGAGGATGAGTCTTCTGGGCGGCCTGGAAGAGACGGGCGTCGCGTCGGTGTGGAAGAGGCGGGGGCAAGTCATTCGAGCAGTGTGTTCAGCGGATCTGAAGTGGGCGGTTCGGATGCGAGCGCTGAAAACAGAGCCGGCGTGGGCGCCGCGTCCGAGTGGACGGGGTGGAGCAACCGCGGGCGTCCGAATGGACGCAGACGTCCAGACGCTAGTGCTGCAGATACCGCAATATATGCTAGCTATGGCACATTTCGGATGCAGCAGATTATGGTTTGGCTTCAATGTTTCTTGTCTTTATAGTGCAATATATGCTAGTTATGGCACATTTCGGATACAGCAGATTATGGTTGGGCTTCAATATTTTCTTCTTGTCTTTATACTGCAATATATGTTAGGGCATGTTTACTTTCCTCCAAATTTCTGAATTTGGCACTATGCAAAAAGAAGATTCACCGTCACATCAAATTTGTGGTACATGCATGGAGTACTAAATGTTGACGAAATAAAAAACTAATTGCGCAGTTTGATGGTACTTTGTGAGACGAACGTTTTAAGCCTAATTAGTCAACAATTGAACAATTATTACTAAATAAAGACAAAACTTCACTGTAGCTACAGTGTAGCTGCAGTGAATCGGTCGGCACCTATTCGGACGATCTAAGCATGGCCTTAGTTATGGCACATTTCGGATGCAGCAGACAATGGTTTGGCTTCGAGATTTCTTCGTACACAGCTGTGCGCTGAAGCATGGCACGTCTATCAATTGTCCTACAGTACAGTTCAGAGTTTTCAATTGCGATACAACACATCCCAAAAACATGTTGACAGAGACAGACTTGACACGGAGATAAAGGCTGGACGAAAAACTCGAAGCTCGTTAGCTCGTTCGATTTTGGAGATCAGTTATCTCTGTGATAGATTTTCTGAACGCTTCTAGGAAAAAAGATCGAAGACTTTACAATTGACTAAAAAAGTAAATTGATGTGGCTGGTCCAATGCATTTTTTTATATTAATTATTCTCAAACCATCCGTAACGAGCCAAGCCGAGCTAGCTTTCTGGCTCGTTAGGATAACAAACCAAGCCGAGCTAGCTCGTTATCTTAACGAGCCCAAACGAGCCGAGCCAGCTCGTTATCCAGCCTTAACCGGAGATCAGTTATCTCTGTGATAGATTTTCTGAACGCTGAGACGAAGACACAAAAAAAAGTGTGATGCACATGTCCAACATGTGAAGTTTCCAACCATCCGTACGTGTTAGTCAGTCAGTGTTACACTCGTGACCCGTTCTTCGCTGTCGCAACACTGTACCGGCTGATTTGTTACGAGAGAAAAACACTGTTTCAATTAAAAAACAAGCTGAAAAAGACGGATTATAAGAGAAGCGAAAAGGAAAAGGGCCTAGGTAGGCATCTCGCGGCACAGCTCAAGACTATCTCCATCATCAACACCTAAAATACAAGACCTATTTGATCTTTGGGTAGCGCTACAATTAAAGAGTTTAATACATATTCGACATCTTCTCAAACAACAAGATTCAAAAGAGAATCATTTCTGCAAATAAGTTTTCGAAGATGCTCATATTTAGGTTGTGTCTTTTAGACATCAGATATCTCAAATGGGTTTTCCGTATAAATAGTCTATTGTTATCTATTTTGTGTTTAGATGCCCATACGGCACTCTTATCGGAGACAGTCTCACAGTGCGATTTCATTGACCAGAACGTCAACCAATCGGTAGAGGTCTCCTCTGCTCTGCATCTCCAACGGAAGGTTCTCCCTGCAAATGTTCTCCCTTGATCAAACCACAAACACAGGAGCAACCAAAATCGAGTGTGTGAATCTTAAATTCTTAATTCTAATATCGCGTGCCTTGTAGATTGTATCGTGGAGAGGTCGATCTCGCCGATGACGGTCGCTTCCTCATGCCCAGCTGCCGCAAGCACTTCGCCAAACTGAATAGATTGCAAAAATAAATTAGCCACTGATCCTGTCGAACCGAAACTATCAATTGGGAGAAGATGCAAAACTGCAAATGGTTGTTGTGTCTCACTGGTCCGATGAGGCTCGAATGGCCCCAGATCATGTAGTCCGAGTTCGCGTTAGGGTCTCGCGCCGGCGAGCAGGTTGCTACAAACAACTGGAACCAAGAAAAATTCAGCATCGCTGCCTTCATTTTACGTACAGTTTTGGCACAATGACAGAAGAGGGTATTTAGTCTGTACCTGATTATCAACGGCCCTGATGGAGTGACAGAGTAGAGGGGAAAAATTGTGAGATAACTGCTAGTACATGAAGAGATGGATTTTTCTCATCCCAACTTGAACAAAAAGTTTACTACTATTTCTGATGGCATCGTGATCGTGGTGACACAGAGAGCAGAACTGAAAACTGATGAAGAGAAAAAGGCTGGAAAAGCTGTGACACTGTAGCGAACCTGGATTTCTGCATGAGGTCCCACAGAAGCTCCCCGGTGCTCATGTTGAATGCAGAAGGATAGCATATCAGGTGTGCACCTGGTTTGGCAAGTCGCACCTGTTAAGCCGTTCATGGAAATTGGAGAGGATCTAGCACTGCATGGAAGCAATGTAGCACAGCACATCCTCCAAAAAATGGTGAAGCATACCTTTTGATCTGTACAGCATTGCAAGCTCTGGAAACCGGATATCATGGCATATTCCTATGCCAATCCGTCCAACATCTGTAACGCATGTGACAGAAAGCTATCACAAAAACAGAAGCAGATTCCTAGCAGAATGCGTTATCACAAAAACAGAAGCAGATTCCTATGCCAATCCGTCCAACATAAGTGTGTGCGCTGTAAATGTACTTCTGCAGCTTTACAAAATCTCAGAGAACTCTGCTGGTGCTTAACAGTTACAGCAACATGTAGGAGACCATTTTCAGACATGAAACTATCACAGGTGCATAGTAAAATGTCGCCACAAATATGCTAGTACGTACAAGAAAGATACTTCATGGTAATATACCTCTGAACTGAAGTTACCAGTTTACCACGTACCTGTGTCGACTATAGTAGTTTTTTGCCCGCCTGTGAATGTATCAGATTCCTTGAGTTTGATGTCTCCTGGGATGTCAATCTCAAACAAATGCAGCTGAAATTGCCCATTTTTTAGCAATCACTATGCAGGTCGATCCAATTACCAGCTGAAAATTACACATTAATATCTGGATCCAGACAACAGCCTCTCCAGCTATTGTACTTACTTTCCTATGCTTGGCCAATATCTGTCCATCTGGTCCGATAACACAGCAGGTGTTGAACACCTTCCCAGACGCCTTCTCAGGGATGGATCCACCTACAATGGTGATCTTTCTGGCAGCGGCGAGCTCCGACAACATCGAGATGGACGGCGACTCTCCGCCGTCTATGTCTTCGGCGTAACTTGGCAGTGTCTCCATTGCATACGGGCAGCTCCATATTTCCTGAAGCAAAAGCAGAGGAACGCTGCCAATGAAGCAATGCGTATAACTTCTGCTGCCAGCTGCTTTCAGCTGATCAGGCCTTAATCTGTACTAGCACTTTCAGTATGCTCAGTAGTTAGCGATTTGTGGTTTGAGGCAGTAAACACGTCAGTAACTGGCAGAGGGAGCGGACGACTTGCCGGCAGGACGACGAGCCTGGCACCGGCGTCCGCGGCGGCCTCGACGCGGGCGCGCGCGCGGGCGATGTTTCCGTCCTTGTCCGGTGTGACGGCGAGCTGGCACAACGCGACCTTGTGCTGGACACACATGCGAACAGACCATGAACGGATATCCCAACAAAAAGTTTGGTCGATCGAACTGAAACAGGTAAGACTAGATTTCCGGCGAGCATGAACATGTTATACGCACGAATAGGATTTCAAACTTGTCTAAGAAAAAAAGAATTAGGATTTCAGATTTGAGAGCCGAGATCTGTGTGTTTTGTATACCTTCTGCATATTGGCTTTGATTTGAGAGGACGGAGCCGCGGCGGCGGCGAGGTCGAGGAGGAAGCCGGGCTCAGATCGATACTTCGACTGAAAGGCAGGCCGATCAGGATCCGTGAATTCTGGAGGGATGGAAGGAAGCCTGCTGGGCTGTTGACTTCTGCGAGTTCTGGTACTTGCGTGCTGTCCAGTAAAATAGAGTATTTTTTTTTTATCTCTGAGCCATCGTAAAGATAAAAAAATCAAAAAAAAAAGTTCGACGGTCCTCACTCTTCAGCAATCGAGTGAGCCATTTTTCTTCAGCTTCCATCTATTTCCCTTTAAACGGTGTTAATCTTGTGGCCGAAATAACCGTTACAGCATCGAGTGAGCCATTTTTCTTCAGCTTCTTCCTCTGTTGGCACTAACGTCCTGTTTGTTTGGGTTTATTTAGCTTATAAGTCGTACTTTTTTAGCTAATAAATAATATTTTTTTCTCACATTAAATTAGTCAATAGTCCTTTCAGCCATACCTTATCAGCCAAACAAGTCCAAGCGAACAAGACGAAGTTAGCTGCATTTTAATTTTCTTCCATTTCCTCTGGTGCCACTTGGTCTGAGCTGCTCTAACTCAACTTTTACTGCTATATATATTGTGTCTATGACTTTTATTCTTGTCGAATAAACCTCTCAAAGATAAATCAAAAAAGTTATCTAGTGATGAAGCTAAGGTAGTAATTATTTTACTTTTAAAATACCGTAGTAAGTGGAATAAAGTCACATAATCACATGTTTGACATGCTGACACGTACTCCATTCTTTTTAAATTATAAGACGTTTTGGCTTTTCTAGATAAATTATTTTTACTAATATTTAGATATAGTGTATATCTAAGTACATGGCAAATGTTATGCATCTAAAAATGTCAAAATGTCTTATAATTTAGAATGGGATGAGTATCAGTTTGAAAAAAAAAATCATTCAAACTGTAACGTTGAAGGAGAAATTTTATGCTTTGCAACATTAATCAGCAAGAAAAATAACAAAACCAAGTAATGATAATTCATCATTGCCTTCATCTTGATCTGTTTTGCAAAAACATCTAAAGCAAATAATTTTTTTTGAGCAAATGCAAATATTATTTTTCTTTCCCTATCCCATTTTGGGCCAAATCTGGCCTGAGCCGGCCTCCCTCCTTTCCGCACCGGCCCAACGAGGCCTAGTCGGGCTCCTCCCTCTCTCCCGACGCCGTCTCTCTCGAGCGCTCACGCGCCGAGCATCACCGCCGCCGCTCTCTTCCCACCGGTGAGGCCGTGACCGCGCCAGTCTGACCCACCTCGCAAAGTGACGCGTGGCCCAACATGCGGCGTGCGCTTGTATCGTGCCCCTCTCTCCCCTCAGGCCTTCTCCAACAGAAAAAAAAAAATTCGATGCATACTGTATCCACAATGCCTCCACGTATACATGCCATAGATAGTTGCCACGTGTCCAGTTTAACCCATCAACAAGAGCGCGCACCTGCTTGCCTCTCATGCGCTCGGCTCCGGCCTCCAGGCTCTCGTCCGTGGTTTGCGGGCTGTATGCGTCGATGCTTGATGGTTGACACGTGTCGCACATCGAAGTTGTGTATGCATGGATGTTGTGTACATTGAGCATGCACCAAATTATTTTCCTCTCCAACGCACCAGGCTGGAGTGCTGTCCCAAATTGAGTGGCCATGTCACACTCAAAAGTAGCCTCGCAGGAGGCCAGAGACGCCTGCAAAGGCTGCGGTGGTTCCGTCTGACAAAAGGATGGAGACACCTAGAGTCTCTTTGGAGGGGTTTCTCCTGGCTCCGGCTCCGGCTCCGGCACCGTAGCACTATTGTGGCGGAGCTGGAAGAGAGACTCTAAATGTGCTGCTCCTCCGGTTTCTCTTCTTTCTAGTTTATTTTAGAAGAGCCGGAGTCATTTTTTTTGTCATGCTATAATAAAACCAGTGTTGCAGTATCTTATGAGTATGAGCTGAGCAGCAAGAGCTGCACCAAACGCGGCCCTACTCAAACACGCGTTGCAGAGAAGAGCAGCTCCAACATGCGTCAGTTTGCTCGGGGACTACGTCTCATATATACAATTAAAAATGTGAGGTAGGCTATGGAGTATGGACCCTACAAGGTCAGGATCTGTTGCTGCTTGCGTTGCAGGGCCTTGTTTAGATTTCAAGTTTTTTTACTCTCTTTTTATCATATCAAATTTTTGAACATATGCATAAAGTATTAAATATAGATAAAAAAATAACTAATTACACAGTTTGATTGTAAATTACGAGACGAATCTTTTAAGCCTAGTTAGGCCATGATTGGACAATAATTATCAAATATAAACGAAAATACTACAGTGCCAAAATATTAATTTCTAACCAGATCTAAACAAGGCCTAAAAATGACTGCTTTGGTTGTTGCTTAGACGGACGTTTGGGTTGTCCTTCTAAACTTTAGTGGTTGTCTTATTGGATGTTTAGATACATGTATGAAGTATTAAATATAGATTAATTATAAAACTAATTACACAGCTTACGATTAATTTGCGAGACGAATCTTTTAAGCCTAATTAGTCCATGATTTGACAATATAGCGCTACATTAACACGTGTTAATGATGAATTAATTAGGTTTAATAAATTCACCTCGTAGAGTACCGACGGATTATGTAATTTATTTTTTTATTAGTATCCGAACTACTCATGAGACACCCTCACATGACATCTCCTAAATTTTAGTTACCGAATCCAAACACCCCCCTTAGTCTAGATGGCATACAACTTTTGTCTGAGGCTAATACTCTAATATTCAAGAGTACATAATATTTTGTTCCCCAAAATATAGAATTTTATAACTCCTAAAAAATATTGAATAAATAAAGAAGGTCATCTCTAAGAGTTTCTAATAATCCACTCCTAAAATATAGAAGATAATTTAACATCAGGAATCATATATTATTTCTAAATTATCCTAACTATTTTTATATATTATTTCTCTCTTGTACATTTGCATTCGGAACTATTTTCAAATCTTTATTCTTTCCACGTCCTTCTACCTTTAGATTGGCCGACAAACATGCGTGTGGAGAGAAGATACGCGCGACTCGGAAGCGCATAACTTTACGCGGAACAGGATGATTTTTTCTAAGTTCTAAAAAATTAGGAGGATAGATTAGAAATTATTCGAGAGAAATTTTTTCTCATCTTTATAAAAATCAAGGATTAGTAACGAATCTAGGAAAGTCGAAGATGCTCTTAGCTTGCGCTGGGCTGCCCTCAGTCTCTTGCACAGGCGTAGCCGCGGCATGCACGCAAATTTTCTGAGACTTTTAAAACTACTTGTTTCGGTGTATGTCGGATCATGGAGATATGAAGTGTCGGATCGAATCATGCATGCCGACATGAACGTGAGGGAATTTTTTTTTGTGATCAGTTAAAAAAGATCATAATTCCTGCGAGCCACTGAAAAAGTTTAGTGGACTTCAGCGTCACTGCTCTAATTTTTTTTTCTCTTCATGCCACTCCTATCAGATTGGGCTCTAACGTGTCAAACTGCATGTACGAAAAATCGAAAATACCCTTTGGTTTAAATATGTCATTAATTTTTTTAGTATCTTAACGACTTCAAATGAAAAAACTCAAAACTAGAAAGTTGTAGATCTCGTCGAGATCTATAATTTTCATATAAAAATATCTTCTTTTAATACCGTCAAAAATATATGATTTTTCTAAGATATATTAATCCTATCAAATCATGTATTTTTTTTAAGGAATTAAATGAAGATAATTTTTATGACCCCGTTCGTCTTACCTTATAATTCCGCACTATTCAACTTGTTTTTTCAGCCGGAACAATATTTTTCTCACAATAATTCAGCAAGAACAGTGTTTTTTAGCCAATTCAGCCAAGTTTCATCAAGCCGAACGGGACCTATATGAAAATTATAGATCTCGACAAGATCTATAACTTTCTAGTTTTGAGTTTTTCATTTGAAGTCGTTAAGATGCTCAAAAAAAATAATGGCATATTTAGACATAATGATATTTTTGACTTTTCACACCTCATCGTTAGAGCTCAATCTGACGGCAGTGGCATGGAGGGCAAAAAAAAGTTGGAGCAGTGACGCTGAAGTCCGCTAAACTTTTTCAGTGAACTGCAGAGAATTGCGATATTTTTTAATGCCTCATGTGGAATTTCCCCTATGAACTTATGAAGTGGCACATCACTGGTGCCGAATGTGACATTGTACTAGAAACATTTGGTGCCAAACTTGCCTTCAAGTGTGGGGGGCAATGACATTCCATTTGCTTACACATTTCCAGTTGCTTTTCCACTTGGTCAGATTGTCATCGGTTGCCATATACACTAGCCCTTGCTTCATCGCTTTTAAACTCTGATGATGAACCGAGTAGCTGTTGTGATACGTACAGATTTTGGCCGTCGAAGTTGCATCAATCATGCCGTTAAAAGGGCCAGCATTTGGCGGCTGGTGG